GCTCCAAACTGGTGAAGAAAAGTTCAAACATGCAAAATCTAGGGTGTCAAGTACTTACTGAAATGTTCAACAAACTTCTGAGAAAGAATTTGGGTAATGTACTCTTAACTCCTCCGCAATTACATCTATTTGTCTCTCCTACTTGTCATCGAAATTATCCTCTTAGTCTACCTTTTAGAGCACTGAAGCAAAAAGCATGGACCATACGAAGTTGTGGAGAACATAGGTCATGTAGCTTACTAGATCAATTTACCTAAAGTGTCTAGTATCCACCATCTTTGTTTAAGAAAAGTTAAGAAAGCATGCCATACCAATAATTGAACTATTTTAGGGGCTGTTCGGTTGTTTTTTCATCAAGCTCTATATGGGTAATGTACTCTCAACTCCTCCCCGATTACATCATATTGTCTCTCCTACTTGTGAGCTTTATTCATCGAAATGATCCTCTTAGTCTACCCTTTAGCGCACTATTTTAGGGGCTGTTCGGTTGTTTATTCATCAAAAAGCATGGATCATACGAAGTTGTGAAGAAGATAGGGTCGTGTAGCTTACTAGATCAATTTACCTAAAGAACCTAGTATCCACCATCTTTGCTTAAGAAAAGTTAAGAAAGCACGCCATACCAATAATTGAACTCTTTTATTACTTGGCAGGAGACCTGGTTTCTAATTGAACTAGTATGTAGTCGATATTTAGTTTTTATTATATTTCTATTATTTGTTTTCCATTCTTACCCTTCACAAGGTTGGGCATGTAAACATGTGTAAATGGATGATATAATCTGCAGGAAATATTCAGAGGGATATGAAGAAATGAAATCAACTCTCCTTTCACATATCCTGCTCTGCCTCAATTTTCTCATCTCCTTCTGGTTTTAGTCATCATTGCAGGTCAGAGTCTGGTTATGAACCGTTCACGACCACTAGGATACTACCATGTAGCAACACATATATCAATTGGATGTAAACAGGAGTAAAACAAGAAAACATAGAACAGATAAATCATGCAAATTTTGATGCCCAACCTCTATTTTTGCATTCTAAAACTAACAAACCCTCGTATGCTTTGGTCCGAAAGAACAATGCTATAAGCTATTACTGTTTTTGATGCTCACTCATTTTCGGGATGTCACCAGCAGGAAGGAGATTGTAATTATGTTCAATTTTAAGCAGAACAAAACTGGGCAATCAATAAAAAAACAAACAAAAGTGACAATGAATGAGATAGACCCGTAACATGAACAAGAGGCAACAAGTAAAGGAAATTTAATGCTCAAATTCAATATTGGATTCTTATATTCAGTCATCAATTATAAAGCATTTGACAAAAACTCTTAAAAACCATTTTCTATGCATGAAGTAATCTTTATTGATGCATATTACTTAAAATTCAAGATTGTAAGTAATTTTAACGTAAGGTATCAACCAATGACAAACAAAGAAAGGTAAAAACCAAAGAAATATAATCAAAACCTGAACCAGAGGCAACAAGTAAGCAAGAGTCTTCCCAGAGCCAGTATGAGACCCCAAAACCACACTTTTTTCATCAAGAACGGCAGGTATCCCCAAACTCTGAATCTCAGTGGGTACTGTAATACCCATCTCCCCTAAAGCAGCCAAAACCTCCTCACTCAACCCCAATTCCGAAAAGCTCAACACTTTCTCCTTGTTCTTGGAAGACCCATCGTCAATCTCACTCTCCTGGCCCAGTATCGACTGTGGCTTCTTACCATTACTTTTGTTAGTACTACCTACCGAATCTTTGAGGTGTCTGATTCTAAGGCGTTCAAGGAGGATAGAGTGTTTTGATGATTCTAATGATGCTTCGTCTGTAATAGGGGCGGCGGCAATGGAGGAGAGGGCCCTATACCCTTGATAAACCCTACGAGGCGGGTGGCGTTTGGGAAAAGAGGGAAGAGAGAAGGAGAGGCGGGTGATGGAGGTAGAAGAAAAGGAGAGGCGGGGGATGGAGGTAGAAGATATGGAGAGGGTTAGGATTCTTGCAGTTCCTCCCATTTTTTCCAAAATCGACCGGAGTTGGCTATTGCAGACTGGCGCCTCTTTGTGCGTCTCACCTGATCTATAAACAGAACAGAATAGTGAATTACGAAAATAGTCCCTGGACTATCTATACTACATTAAAAAAAAAAAAAAAAAAAAAACATTTAGGACCGTTTACCAAAACACTAACCCGGTAAGCATTTATCAGTAAAATTCAATACTATTGTTTACTTACCAGGTAAGATTTTATTCATTAAAACGCATCGTATACAACAATTTATCCCGGTAAGCGCTAACCATGGTAATAGTCGTCATCCTCACTTACCGGATAAGACTTTTGATTCTTGCTTTCGTTCTTACCGGGTAAGATTCTTAGTCTTTGTCATATTCATCCGGCAAAGTAAAATGACTTGGTAAGTGATTACTCGGATAAGCGTTTGGTAAACGGCACCTTAGTTACAACAAAAAACATTATATACAAGTATATAATGCATAATTTATCCTCCCAGTACTTTTAACCAAAAATACACCTTGTATTTGCTCTCATATCTCCAGCAACAGCTTTATGTTCTTGGTTTGGATTCCATTCAAATTCATAACAAGAATATGTTTATCTCTCCAAACACCTCTTTCATCTCTTCCCTCCAACAGTTGCGATTTTCGATTCTGCAAAATTCGACCGAAGGCTGAAGGATAACTCTCTACCAAAGGTTTCAACCAAATCAATTTCATCGCAGTCCTCTTCATATCAATCATCACCGTTATCAGGTACCAATTATCTGTGCTCATTTTCCTCTTTTTCTTTGATTTTAGGTTTTGGGTGCACCTACAGTAGATTTTTTACCTTCTTTGAAACAATGTTTTGTTGCTAACGGTGTCTTTTTGTCTTTGATTTTAGGTTTTTTAAGCCAATCAACATTGAGTTATTGTTTCAAAAAAAAAAGGTTTATCTTTTTTTTCCTTTTATTATTTTTTTTATTCTCATGGTATATTTTAGGGTATTGTTGATTTCTTTCTTGTAGGATTCCCATGGAGAATTACGATTCCATTGCATGTTCTTAATTAAAGTTCACGGTGCTTAGGGTCTTGGATAAGAGTCAAATTCATTTGTAAGTTAAAGAATGCAAGCATTTAGTCTGGTTTTAAGCTCATTTTCTTTTCTGGTTCATGAACAAATTCAATAATACATCAATATAAAAGATACGGATTTTATACATCACAAATCTATATTTTTTGGAGGAATTCTTATATTCTCGGAGTTGAATAGATTTTAATGTATGGTTGATTAAAAAGGTCAATTTCAATCATAATTTTACCGCATTGTGTATTGTAGCTTTATGTAAGAATATTATTCTTTCACTAAAATTTGTCTTTTTAATTGTATTTGATGTCTTTGTTGATGAGTTTTTGGGCAACTGTTTTTGTTCTCTACAATTAACTCACTAAAACTGTAGGACACACATGGTATATTGATCTCATGCTTTTGGAAAACATTCAAGGAATTTTGTCAGTATCTCTGAGTTGAATATTCTCCTCCAACTGTCTTCAAGTCAATAAGAAGACAATTAAATCGTTGATGTACTTCAGATAAAGATTCAGTTTTTCCACAAAGAAAAATTTTATATTGTCTTACTAAATTAATCTTCCTCGATTCGTGTACTTCAGAAGTACCTTCATATTGAACACATAGAGTGTCCCACATAGATTCTGAGGTTTTAAGCTTCATCACTGAGGGATAGATGCTCGTCAGTTTATTCAACCTTAGATTCCAACACAAAAATAGAACTCGGCGCAAGTATACACCTCGAACTACTGTCGTCTCGTAACAAGTAATAATGGTAAAAAGTACCAAATTATCGTTCCCACAGAGATAGCTTGTAAAGTTATTTCTAAAAGTCCAGTTTATAAAAACTAATTTCAGAAGGCGAAACGAGGGATTTGATTTTATCTAAAAATGGGGAGGTTTG